ATTGTGTACATAAATATAAAAATGCCTATATGTCATAATGGATAGTATTTGCATGTATCAGAATAACGCGCTCAAGCAGATCCGTTCCCTCACTAGAGAAGCGTTCAGTTTTTTTGCTTGTGAATTTTAAGCGAATCCGCCATGGCGGGAGCGCAACTGGCTTTTAAAGGGAATGACTGCTTAGAAACTTCCATTTTACATACCTCTTCCCTTCCACTGCCCTGTAGGAAATACAAAACTACGAAAAAAAACTTTTAATATTTATTTCATGTAAAGTTTGTTTTGTTGTATATAAAGTTTATTCAAATTAGAAAGTTTATCTAAAATATAAATTTTAAAATTAGAATTCATTTAAATAGCATTTAAAACTATAAGCTTTTTTTTTTTTTTGGATGAAAAATAAAACCAAAAGCTGAAGATGTTTTGTGGTGTACTGTGCCATTCATCAGTGTTTGTATCAGTATTGTAATCAATAATCAGTATTGTTCAATTTAGTGTTATACATGTTATCATGTTCATACAGTATGCTTTGTTCTAATGTCACAAGTCATAATCTCAGGTTTACTGAGTTTTACACAAATCTTCGATTCTTTTGTGTGGATTTAAGTAGTGTACTTTCACATTTTCACATGCATCCTCCAAAATGACCCACAACATTATCAGTTTATGTGAAGAAATACATTTATTCATAAACTTCTCACAAAAGGATTGTTTCACAAACTACTCGGCAAACTACTTCCTCTCACCGCTGCTTTCTGATGGTTTGGAGAACTATTACTCCGCGTCGCCCCCCTGTCGTTTCACAGAATTATACAAAGGTGAGCAAGTGTAAAAAGTGTGAAGAAAGTGTCAAAAAAGCAGCGTCCGTTAAGAGGCAGGCGGAAGTATAAACAAGGCTTCAACTGCACAAACTGCTTCCACTATGACCGAAAGCGGAGCTGTGCTGTGATTCCACCGATGGCCGCGTTCCAGTATGAAAGGGCCTTTAAGTCAAAAGTGTAGAGCTACTTGTCAGTGTTCCACTCAGTCTCAGAGCGCATGACAAAAAAACTGCCTGCCAACGTACGAGTGTGAACTTGAATTTCCTTTCGAGGCATACTGCACTTATAATAAGTGCAACTGCACCAAGCACATCACACTCTATTACTCAACCGTTCATCCATGCTTTTTTACACTCCAACTTTTTCCCTCTAAAAGCTGCACGGATATATTTGCTTACCCCAATAGGCCTTTTTCTATGCAAACGATTTAGCCGAGCAATGGTAAATGTGACCGGCACCTTAAGATCCAGTGTAACCCTGTTCCTGTGTCTTTATAGGATAGCGATTATTACTATGATGATGAGGAAGAAGATTTTGAGGAGTGGGGCAGTGAGGTTAGTTCCAGCTCACCGCGTGAGGAGACCTCTGCCCACTCCTTCAAGGACGTCCCGAGGAGAGGAAGACCACCACGCCGTGCTGCTCTTCAGCGCAGGACGACCCATCCAGGGCCAGAGACCTCAGACAGATCCTCTCCCAGAAGAACCACACGCTCGGTTTCTTACAGCCAGAACCAGACGGCCAAAAACACACACACAAAGGTCAAATATCCACATAGACCTTTTGTGTAAATTATTTCCCAAATGTAATATCTGTCATTTTTAATGTATGCCTAGAGTTGAATTGTAATAGATAAAGTGAACTGTGCTTGTGTGCATATGTAGACTGAGAGTTTTGAAGAGGAAGATCGTCTGGTGTTAGAGAGGAATCCTCTGGAATGGAGCGTCTCTGATGTGGTTGACTTCATCACATCCACAGATTGTGCCTCTCTAGCAAAGATATTCCAAGAGCAGGTACAGTACACTAACTAACCTATCATTTGGCCCTTCTTTGGGGCCTACTTCAAATCAAGTTATCAAGAAAATGATCAGATTTCTTAGTGCAGTAAGAAAGATTAGAAAAGATTGATTATTTTAGATTTGATTTTAACGGTTGAAAATGATTGAAAGATTTAATATTGGAGGCTTCTGTAAATATGCTAAATAACATTTGTTCAGTCTTTTATTTTATTTTTGTATTTTATATTGTCAAAGATTATGATTTTTATTTGTATGTAATTTTATTATTTTCATAATTGATGTTAATATATTGAAGGATATATATTAAAAGGCCAATCAGTGTTTTGTCAAAGATCATTATTTTTTTATTTTTTTATTTTCTAAAATTCAGAGGTTTTAAGGCTGATTGTGACTGATTGATTTTTTTAAATAATGCAGACTTCAATTAATGAAACTAAAAATACATATTCTTTTATTTTATTGTAATTTAAAATGGTCAAAGATTGATGATTGTTTTTATGTTATTTATTATTTTCCATAATTGAAATAATCAATTATTATAATTATTATTATTATTGCAGGAAATATTAAAATCAGTGAGTAAATTGTCAAAGTTTATGATATTTTTTGTATTCTTCTTTTGTTATATATTAAACTAAATAAAATATATTTCTGTATATATTTTATTTTCATAATTTAAAATTTTCATCATTTTCATTTATAAAATATTATCATTATTATTTTTATATTGCAGGCTATATTAAAAGGCTAATCAGTGTGCAGTCAGTATGACATCTGTGACAGGGCGCATCTAGAATGCATTGCTTTTTATTAAAGTGCCCCTATTATGGGTAATGAAAGGTTCATATTTTGGTTTTGGGAGTTCCCAACAACAGGTTGACATGCATGCAAGGTCAAAAAACACTTTCATTGTCTTATAATATGCATTTATGTTTACCTTATTTGCTCAACGACTCCCAAACGATTCGTTTTTCTAAACCCCTCCTTTGCATGACATCTGCGGTGATTGGTCCGATTGGTCTCATTTTCATTTCATAATGCCTGATAAAGCAGCTTTTGTGAGTGCAGTGTTGCTTTGTGTACAGCGTTACCGGGGAAACCGCTATTTTTACCGCTCCAAAAGCGGCACCTAGTGGCAAAGAATGAATTTGCATTTTCATTCAGACCAACGCGAAAAGACCAACAAGTGGGCGGACAATATGCTAATGTTTCATGTTGACGTCAACATGAAACGGCATGGGATTCGTTTTAAAAACGACTGGTTTCAATGATTCAGAGTCGACTCTTGTCTTGAGAGACAATAACTTTATACACGGTGCACTTTGAGATTTAAAACTTTGCAGGATGTTTTCATTCACTTAGAGCTGTGTTACACACTGCATGAAAGGTAATTTTCAAAAATCCATAATAGGGCACTTCAAAATCATAACTGACCCTTTTTACTTTACTAATGTTCTATACTGCAGCTTAGAAAACATAACAAATTCAAATGAAAATGCACACAGATACAAACCTAAGAATCATACATTTGCTATCAGGGTGTGCAAGACTGAAGCAAACAAGAACAAGCAAAACCAGTAAAAAAAATCTAATATTTATGCTAACCTGTACACCTTTTTTCCTTCTCAAGGATATTGATGGACAGGCCCTGTTGCTGCTGACGCTTCCTACAGTCCAAGAATGTATGGACCTAAAGCTCGGTCCTGCCATCAAACTCTGTCATCAGATCGAGCGAGTCAAAGTGGCCTTCTACTCCCAGTTCGCTAACTAAGCTAACTTTCTGCCTCAGTGGACGTAAATCAACAGAGACCTATGTATTGTACTCAGGGGATGTAAAGAGTCATTCCATCCATCAGGAAGCCTCAGGTTGCCTCATACCGAATGGATTTTTTTCCCATCATTTGCCTTCAATCTGAGATTTAGTTATGGAACATGACATTATTTCTGCTTTCCCTGCTAAAGTAAACAGTTTAAAGGTGAAGGTTGCTGGTCTTAGCTGGTTTGAGCTGGTCTACCTGGTCTCCCAGCCTAGTCAAACTGGTGTTTAGAGGATTTAACTGGATGGCCAGCTGGTAAAGTACCAAAAACCTCTTTAAAGCCATCAAAATAGACCAGCTTCAACAACCTTACACTCTTGAAAATAAAGGTTCCAAAAGGGTTTTTTTCTTAGTGTGAAGAACCTTTTTAAAAAACTCTAAAGAAACTTTTTCCTCTATAAAGAACCTTTTGAATGAAAAGATTCCGTGGATTAGAGTTGGGCCGATAGACGATGCTTCTCCTTACTCTGTTTATGTGGTAAGTGAAATTTGATGTACTGTAGGATGTAACAGACAATGTTACACCGTGTCTACACTGGACGCGGCAGTTGTCGTGTCGCGCCGCGCCGCATCAGCTAAAGTCTGTCTACACTGGACGCGACAAAGCGACCGTTGAAAATCATTTGAAATTTGTGTCAGCACGTCATAAATAGAACGCGGCAGCAGTTTACTGTCGGGGATTTGTCGTGACGCGCCGCATCCAGTGTAGACAGCATCACTGATTATAATGAGTTCTATAGACTGATCTATATATAATAAATCTCTATTATAGATCAGTGGTTCTATAGTATTTTGTCGCGCCGTGCCGCTCGCGTCCAGTGTAGAAACGGTGCTAGGATATAATGAGTTCTATAGACTGATCTATATATAATACATCTCTATTATAGATGTGTGTAGTATAATATTTTGTCGCGCCGCGCCACTCGTGTCCGGTGTAGACACGGTGTTAGGAATCGTGATTTCCCTTATAAGGATTCACGCTTCGGCGTTCGGCCACACCCCCTAACTCTTCCTCCACACCCCTACCCCCGCTCGCCCCCGCCGATGTCATCGTCCATCGCGATGTTTCACTGTAGACATCGTCCGATGCCAATTTTGTAGACATCGCCCAACCCTACACTGTAAAAAAAAATCCGTAAAATTTACGGTAAAAAACCGGCAGCTGTGGTTGCCGGAATTTTACCATAAAAAATACGGTAGCAACGTTTTTGGTTTTACGGTTTTAACTTAAATTTACAGTTAAATACCGTAATTTCATTAACTGATATAATGTTAATATACCAACCTATTGAAGTACTGAAATCTGTTTTGTACCTTTGTAATACACTGATAACCACCAAATGCAGGTGGTGATGAGAAAGTCACATGATGAACCAAAGCCCATCACAAGCAGCTTTTAAATAATAACATATATAGAAGGTGCACAGTGTCATTCACACAAACGCTAAACACTGAAATAATGCAATAAACATTCATTTAACAACATTAGGTGTAACACACAACCCTAATATACAAAACTGATAAGAAAAAACTAAAAAGAAACATAGTTATTTCAACAAAAAACCATCAAATTTGAAATGTAATGCAGGGAATTCTGGGAATGTCAATTTACGGTTATTCACTGTAAATTATACGGTATTTTTCACTTCCAAAAACGGTATACTACCGTAATGTCCAATACATGTAATGTCCAATACAGTTTTTCACCGTATATAGTAGGGGAATTTACCGTTAACCATTTAACAGGTTTTTACTGTAGCATTTTTACAGTCTTTTACCATTAAATTCACGGTCATTTTTTACAGTGTACCGTGAATGTTAAAGCATCGATGCCAATAAAGAATCTTTATTTTTTAAGAGTGTAGTTTTTGAGTGGTGAGTCCTTTAAGAAGACTAACCAAACAATCTAGAGGAGGTTTAGGTTTGGTTGGAGTTCCAGCAGTTTCACAAGAACGTTTAAACGTTAGGATGAAGACAGCATTGAAGATCTCCATGGGAATAAGGACACATCTAAACAGAAAGGCGGTTTAACTGTGAAAAACCTCCAACCCCTGAGTTCACTTTTATTCGTCTTTTAAGACCAAATGATATTTATAATGGCGAATTACATATGAAGTATTAACTTCGGAAGTGAACTAATATATTTGTAATATTTATTTTGTTCTGATAAACTATTTTTATAATGTTTGTTAGGAGGTTTAGTGGCAATTTAACACCTGAAAACAAATCTACTTTTGGCAACTTGGGCATTATGAATTAGGGAATATTATTAATATCAGGACTGATATTTTATATAAACTTATTGTGTGTTAAACTTATGTTGTGTGTGTGTGCTGAGTTGTGCATGAATGTTGGGGTTCATGCATACACACATACATAACTCTACACACATTTGTTTTCCCAAAAATACATGCCTTTTGATTGTTTAACGCATCATTTGTTTCTCTTTAAAATTCAAGGGCAAGTGCATTTTTGAGGAGCTGCCTTTTGTCATGGCCTATCTATATTGTATGTAAATGTAATGTTTGACCTATGCAAAATTGGATATGTTTTCTATATATTTGTTGTTGTAATGAGTTTCATAGTGATATATTTTTTACTTCACTCTGTTGTACGACACTTACCTTGATCACAAGTAGAATGTATTCAAGTTTGATTAACTGCTGTTGAAATATTTTCAATCATCATTTTATCCATTTCCAATGCTTAAAACATTGCAATAATTAAAAATGGTTCATGTTTGAAAGTCCCGAAAATATAAACTGCACCAGCTGTCCATTATTTTGACTCACTGCTCAATTTGTAAGTACAAACAAAAATGGCATAGAGTGTGCTTTCAGTAGAAGTCTACAGGGCAAGGCACTCTAAGGGGATTTAAAGCAGAAATGAAAAGTAATTTTATCATATTAGTCTCTTGTATGATGTTTAATAACTGTTGCTGAACTTAATGTACATCTTAGTGCAGTGTTTTGCCCTATAGGCTTTCATTGCAAATACATTCCTGTAAATCTACTTATATTCTGTGGTTAATCAACAGTGTCAGACACCATTCATAAATTGTGTATTAAACCCGAAACGTTCCTTTAATATTAAAAATAGCAGCTTGCATAGTTTATACTTATCTGTTTTCCAGAGAATTTGAAACAAATGTGAACTTATTCACACTAATACGAACATGATGTCCAGGAAACATTGGGCAACGTAATGTGGGCTATTTACAGCACAACCCACTCACACACTCAGCCGTTGGTCAAGACTAAAACATGGTGATATTACATAACCACTAGAGGGTTTTTTCATGAACAATTCTCTAATTTTACAAAGCAGGTTCTTGTTTGGCACAGAACTATATATATATATATTATATTAAGTGTCTTCTATTGAGTCTAACTGTGAACCTATTTGTACTACTGCCACTTCTCATGGTTACCATGGTGACATTATTTCAAAGGTATGCTGCATGTGGCTCCACCAGTGATGTGTCTGACCACAATCGAGATGTTTCTCATGGTTGAGGAGCCCACTTGAATTTTAGTGAGCAACATTTCAAAGACAGCATGGCTAAAACACACACACACACACACAAATAAGATCTGTTTAATATCTCAATAGTTTCTAATAGATAATGTCATTAAATGGGAAACAAATTAAGACTGTTGGCTAAGTCTCCAACTTATCAGATGTTTCTCCTGAGGAAGCAAAAATTTCCAGGTGTGTCTCCTAGAGTTTCAACAGAAATCTCAATAATCCTTCAAAAAGTCTGCAATCAAATGTTCAAGATCTCAGAATGAACTCAGTAAAATTCTCATCAAATATGTCAGTTTCTCATTGGTATCGATTTGTTGTTTTTCTTAAAGGGATAGTTCACCAAAAAATGAGAATGTGATGTTTATCTGCTTACCCCCAGGGCATCCAAGATGTATGTGACTTTGTTTCTTCAGTAGAACACAAACGAAGATTTTTAACTCAAACCGTTGCAGTCTGTCAGTCATATAATGGAAGTGAATGGGAATCACGGCTTTGAGAGTAAAAAAAACATACACATCCGCCGTAAAGCAAGAAGAAGAAGAAGATGCCTCACGCGCCGGCTGTCGAGGACGTGCTCAGGAGGACGCGCGGCCACTCAGGACAGTTCGAACATTGTGTGAATCAGAGGTAAAAAAAACTATATAAATACTGTTCAGTTTCTTGCACAGACCGATCGTTTTGTGTCTTTACACATCAATGTATCGTCACGAGCCGCAGGGTTTAATTTGGTTTTGTTTGTGTATGTTTTTTTTTACTCTCAAAGCCGTGATTCCCATTCACTTCCATTATATGACTGACAGACTGCAACGGTTTGAGTTAAAAATCTTCGTTTGTGTTCTACTGAAGAAACAAAGTCACCTACATCTTGGATGCCCTGGGGGTAAGCAGATAAACATCACATTTTCATTTCATTCACTATCCCTTTAAGTAATTTTAGGAGAAACATCTGACATAATACATCCAGTGCTTAGGGTTTTCAGCAAACAGGGTAGCACCTGTTCCACTTTTACTGTACATACTATGTACAAACTATTGTAACAACTAGGTACCTACAAGTAACCATAACCCATGTGGTTACCTTCTGTTTCTCAGTACTTTCATGGGTCAAATGCAGCAACCGCAAACAGTTTTGGTAAACTATACAAAAGGAGCTTCAAACATAGTGTTGAGCACTGACATTTCTTGTATTTACTGTACACTGTGTACAACTGTATTGTAAAATCACATAAATTAATGATCAATTTATCATATGTACAGTAAGCTATTCTCATGTTTGTATGCTAATTGGCATCCGGTATTTTAATTTTTCACATACCATGAAACCCATTTTTAGTGGCACAGCATTACTGACTTAGCTATTCTGTCAGATGATTTGTTGTTATATGTGTGTGATTATGAGTATGACTCTGTAGATAATGTCAGATGCTGGCAGCAAACGGGACTCTGTATGTGTGTCTGTTGGTTTAAAAAAAAAAAAGAAAGAAAAACGCTGCTTGCATGGGCTAACCACAAAGCTCTTTCTCATACTAACACACGAAACTGTGTCACGTAGAACTTTTAGGGGGGGTGACGGGCCAGTTCTGAATTGTTGGCTGCTGTTTTTCCTTTGAAATAAGCTTCTTTTTAGATTTGCACATTTTGCATGCAATCGGAAATCAAGATACAGCTTCAAGGACGACTGTTTCTCTCTATTTGTTTCACCACAATGGAGTTGAAAGGTGCAACAAAAACACACACACTTAAACAGACCTACACACCTGTTTTGACCTGAAAAGCACTTAAAGTTGATACATACATTCTACATTCTAAAATGAATTGGCGGCACCTTCTGCTAATAAACTAGCATGATATTTCAACACACTCTTATAGCAATATGTAATCATTTTTGTACATTTCATTTGTATGCAATGTAAAAAAAAAAAAAAAGAAACTGTAAATGTACTGGTAATTTGTGTGCCAGTACATTATCCATTCATTTTATGGACATGCAATGACGTGCAAAATTAAAAATAAATCACCTGTACAGATTTTTTTCTTCTT